CTGTACCATTTTTTTGGTATAACCACTCCCACTTTTGTTGGGAGTAGGTTATAAAGTAGGGTTTGCTATAAGTGTTTTAAATAAATAAATAAGGTAAGGCAATGGTGAAATTCAAAAATTTTCCCTACTGGACCTGTGGGCGTGGCTTGGTGATCATGTGACTGGGTGGGTGTGGTTTGGTGGTCATGTGACCAGGTGGATGTGGCTGCACAACTGACTCACACATAATGTAAAAGCAGCAGGACTTCACACAAAATGGCCCCTGCAACAAGCAGGAACCTCACAGACCTTGGCACAGCTGATTTTCTCACAGCTGATTGATAGTTAAAAAAATGCTAAAAAATAAAATAAAAAAAGTTCCGACATTGCCCTCTGCCAATTGTCACACAGCTGATTGTCGCCCAGCTGATCTTTGGAACTTTTTTTAAAAAAACTTTTTAAAGCATTTTTTTTTACTACCAGTTCGGGCGAACGGTAGCAATTACTACCAGTTCGGGCGAACCGGCCCTAACTGGTAGCATTTCACCGCTGAGGTAAGACCATCAGTTGCCAGGGCTCCAAGATCCTCATCCTTGCTGGAATTGCACCACAGTTGCTTCCCCAACACCTTGGCTTACTTGTTTCTTTCTCGAGCTTAGCACAGAATTTGTTGTTCTTCGAGGGTTCGGGTTTATCATCGGCCCAGGCTAGGTAGTAGAATCTGGATTTGTTTATCCACTCCCATTCACTTTTCTGTAATGACAGGGAAGCCATGTTAGCCAACTGCGGAAGAGGCTCCGGCTCTTCAGGGTCCAGATCAGAAAGGAAAGTTGTCAGGTTTTAAGAGTCTCTCTCTCTCCCTCCCTCCCTCCCTCCCCTCAATCTCGGTTGATCTGGAGCAGCTGAGGAGAGTTACACATGGTGACTGTTCAGATTCTTGTAGAGGGCTTGCATGGATTAAACTTGTACTCATTTGAGCAACCTTGGTTCCTGATTTCTTGCCCTGACAACTATGTTGTTGCCACAAAAAAGAAAGAAAAGAAAGAAAGAAAAGAAAAGAAAAGAAAAAAAAAACACTTGTATTCACAAAGTCACCAGGAACTGAGCTCAATTCCAAGGAAATGTCCTCTTTTCTCTACAATCAAGCAACTTTCACGAACTGAAAATGCAACAGAGCACAAGATGTTCTGTTGGTAAGAGAAATGAGCAATTTCTGCACAAAATAAATGAAGGGGAAGAAAGAACAATCCTCCCAGGTTGGGACTCGCAGTCCCCAAATTAATGACCCACCAGAGTTTGAAGAAGCTTCAGAGGCCATTCAATGGGCCATAAAGAGGAAGGCAGACGAAGGAGGAGCTGAGTGTGTGAGATGGCCTGGATCCTGAGATGGGGGGGGGAGGGTCAGAAGAGAATTGGGCCCATTTTGGCTTTAAACATACCAGTCAGTTCTCCAAGTGGGCCTGAATGGTCGGTGGGAGAAATGACAGACAGCATTGGAGTAAATAACATTTTTCAGAGGTTTTGTCCAAGGTGAGAGTTTTTATCAGAGAGATCCCGACCTCCCATTGGACGATCCTTCTAAAAGCCTCAAATAAATGGTAAATATGGATTTGTGAACATTAGCAACAGAAAGAGACCTACTTTACTGGGATCATGCAGTCCAATCCAGACACTTTGACTACTTTTGAGATTCCCTGCGACATAATCGGCCATGTCATCTCTCTGTGTTGTGCTTTGTATGGAGGCGAGGTGGCAGCCTGCGTTTTGTTTCTGGCAGAATGCCTGAGATAAAGCGACAAGGGAGAAAGGCAAATGTGCTTGCGGGTGTTAGTTTGTGAAAGCGAGAAAAGAGCCAGGGAATCTGATTCCATGTCTTGACTGTGTTGACTCCCCTCAGATGCTCTTAATGGAATAACAGAGTTGGAAGGGACCCTGTAGGTCATCTAGTCCAACCCCCCCACCAATGCAGGAGACCATACATCATTTCAGACAGATGGCAATCCAGTCTCTTCTTGAAAGCCTCCAGTGATGAAGCTCTCACAACTTCCAAAGGGAACTTCTGTTCTATGGGTTGATTGTTCTCACTGTCAGGAAATTTCTCCTTATTTCCAGGTTGAATCTCTCCTGGATCAGTTTCCACCCATTATTCCTTGTCTGGCCTTCAGGTGCTTTGGAAAACAGCTTGACCCCCTCCTCTCTCTGGCAGCCCCTCAATATTGGAAGATTGCTATCATGTCTCCCCTAGTCCTTCTCTTTACTAGACCAGCCAGGCCCAGTTCCTGCAACTGTTCATCGTATGTTTGAGCCTCCAGTCCCCTCATCATCTTTATTGCTCTTCTCTGCACTCTTTCTAGAGCCTCCACATCTTTTTTTATACCAAAACTGGATGCAGTACTCTAGGTGTGGTCTTATTAGGGCTTTATAGAGTGCTAGCTTTATAGAGGTATTTATTAGTACCTCCCTTGATCTTGATTGAATCCCTCTGTTAAATGCAATTTAGGATTGCGTTGGCTTTTTTAGCTGCCGCTGCACACGGCTGGCTCATACTTAATTGGCTGTCACTAAGGCTCTGAGATCCCTCTTACAGTTCCTGCTATTAAACCTGGTTTCACCCAGTCTATATGTGTACTTTTGGTAGATTCTGCAGCTCTTGAGCAATTGAGCGCTCACTGTCAGTGTCCTACTGTCCCCATTTATTCGTATCAATTTTCTGTATTCATAATCATGTTTATATTTATATCTGTTATCTTATACAAGTTTGACAAATAAAATAAATAAATAAATAAATAAATAAATAAATAAATAAATAAATAAATAAATAAATAAATAAAATAAATAAATTCCTGATCTAGACTCAGGAGGTCAACTCTCGGATTCCCATCACTTCAGAGGCAAGGAGGTTTGAAGATGCCACCAGAGTTGCCAATGAAACATCAGGAAATCTGTTGTCTAGATTATGGTCACTCAACCTTCAGGCTCAGCACTGCCCAACAGATGCCGGCCATGAAAGCCCAGACCAGTATATCATCAGAGAATACTTGTATTTCAGACTGTCCTAAGATAATGGTCCTTGCTACCTTTTCATGCACACAGCCTAGTGGCCCTGCACTTCAGCCCAGTCAGAGGGACTTGTGGGCTGTTCAAGGCTCTGCCTAGTCTTCTCCTCTGCCTGGGCTAGGAGATTCACAGGCCTACAAGCACTTCTAACCTTGGCATCATTCCAGTTCTTTTGTTCCTCGAAGAGCTTGTTGCAACGCTGATTTCTTGAGTACCATCCTTCGAGACAGGATTTTTGGGCTCCTGTGTGGGAAGAGAGGAAGCCCAATGAGAAGATGGCCAGGAGAGCAGGAAGTGGTGGGGGTGGAGGAGGATGCAAGAGCTGTCTCTAGACAGGAGAGACCCCGTTGGAACTCACCAGTTAGGGAGAAGGCCACGACCAGCAAGCCCAGGGTCACAAAGAGGAATTGCCCCATGGTCTTCTCTCCTGCAGAGAAGAGCAACGAGTAGAGTAGAAGAAGGGGGAGCAAGGACCTTGGGAGGGACTCTTCAGGAAGGGCGATCCAACATCCAACCTGTGACCAAGCTGGGAACCCCAAACTTTGGTTTCCACTTTTTCACTTGCCCAGCTGGACATAATTTCTCCCTCCTTGGTCATCCAGCAGCCTTGGTGGGTCACAGTGGATCACACATTGCTCCGTAAAGGGCAGAAGGGGCCTCCCCTGGAAAGTCTCTCCCGTCCATCTCTTTCTCTTCCCCAGAGATCCCCCCAGAGACCCCTTGCTCCCTGACTCCTGCAGATCCCCTGCTGGAACCTGATCATCAGGTGCAGCCCCCTGCAAGAGGTCCCTTCAGATGGAGAAAGAGACGCAGAGCGAACTGGTGCAGGGGCCTCACCTGTCAGGTGTTCACAGGTGGGAGAGCCGTACTCACTTGTCTCTTTGCCTCCACAGGTAGCAAGTCTGCTCAGTGGCAACTCCAGGCTTCCCTCCAGCAAAGAGAATGGAGGCATTTATAGACAAGGAAGGGGGTGGATTTCTGTTGCGGGGGTGGGGGGGAGCGCAGAAGGAGAGAGAATTTGCTTTGCTTCAGGATTTCTGCTCCTGATTAACAATCTGGAAGAAGCTTGTTTGCACACTAAATTTGGGACATGATAAGGGCACAGAACATTTACTCCTGGATGTTAATCAGATTGATTGATTGATTGATAACAGTGTTCCCCAGGCTTTCTCGCTTGGTGGACTAGAGGAGGTGGCAGTGGCTGCAGAGGTGAGGGAAGAGGGGATGATTTCACATGCACATCATGCTCATAAATGTAGCTTTGTGTGCATGCTCGCTCATCTGCTGCTTTCATGGCCTGGTTCTGAACGGGTTGTGGCCCATTTCAAACTTTCTTGTAAAGTTCTGAGGGAGCACATTCACTTCCTGTCAAGGATGAACTGCTTCGAAAGTAGAAGGTGTTTCTTGCTTGGGTGACCATGTCCTATTTCTCTCTTGGCCAAATATGCTGTGACCTTTGAGTCTTTGGCCCAGTGCGATCTCTCAGCCAGATGCTGCTCTGTCCCCTGCATGGATCTCTCCCTGGGATCAACTTGGTGATGAAATGTTCAAGAGATGAAGGGAGAGGAGCCATTGTAACCCAGCATGTTGTACCACTTCCCTTCTGAGGGACTTTGGGCGGCTGCCCTTGAACCTTCACCCTGGATCACAGGATCACAGGGTGATCACCTTATGTAGTTGGTGGGACTCACCTGCTCCATCCTCTGCAAGATGTAGGAAAATCAGTTCCACCATCTCTGGAGCCTCCTCTGGCCAACCTGCAAGATGGAGAACCCACCACCTTCAGAGGGTGAG